TGCAGCCTGCTTCACATGCATGGTGAAGTGCATGAAGGTGACCTGCTGACCAGTGGACACATTAACAGGTTAGCTGTCACATTCTGTAAACCTCTTTCTCTTACACACCCAATACCAGGGTGTTAAATCAGGATGTGTGGATTCCATGTGTGTTGAATCTGAACCCTCCTGTCGTGGTCGGGGCAATTCTGTCCAATTGACTACGTTCATTAATCATACATATTGTGTGTTTCATTTGATTGCTTCAAGGCCTTATGGTATCCTCCAAAGCAGATATTTGAACATATAAAATACTGATCACCACTTTCATTGAATTTGGAGTGGTTTAGTAAAATGACCTCCATAGGAAATGAATGGGTGACCCTAGATGATGTTCATCCATCAGATACACACACACATCGACAACCATGTTCATTTTGGAATACATTTCAGTGTGTATTCTTTGTATATTCACTGCAGTTATTCATGTAAACCAGTGGTCTGAGACATTGTCTACAGCTTCAAAGTGAGTTAAATAACATTTGGTGATGATTCATGGTTTGTTTGTTAATGTAAGAGCTGTTAAAACAGACCAGTCAAATCTGACCAGGAACACCAAAGTAAGGGGGGAGAAACAAACTATAAAAATGAAGGAATATATACAATAATAAAGGCAATCACAGTAGAAGTGACGGGGGGGGGGGGGGGGGGGGGAGCTACGCAGGGGAGATATGCAGGGGAGAACATGAAGGTTTGAGATGAGAACGACAAACTGTGCATGTGTGAGAGAGAGGACAGGAGAGAGATGAAAGGCTGGGAGAAATACCACCGGGCCGCTGGAACAAATCCAGGACCCCTCAGAGGAACACACGCACGCACGCACACACGTACACACACACGTACACACACGTACACACACACACACACACACACACACACACACACACACACACACACACACACACACACACACACACACACACTTGTAAATTATTTCGAACAAAGCCTGCATGACAATGATCGTTTTGACAAGTGCTGCTATTAACCACTTAATGATGGGGAGAGAGACAGAAGGTATTTTATTTTTGAACTTTAGCATATTTAAAATACAGTTGGACTCTGGACCTCAGCTGTCATGTATGCACTTCAAATTTAAATTTAAGTTCAAAGGAAAATCACACTGAAAGAACTGAAATGTGACTTTAATTAACTGTATTTTGTCAACAGATTTCACATAACTGTAATTACGTGAAATCTGTTGACAAAATACATTTAATTAAAGTCAACGTTTCAGTTTTTCAGTGTGATAAATGTCAAGACAGAATTTATGCAGTATAACATTTTGTTATATTGCTGTGTGTAGAGATATAGCTCCAGTATGATCATGGTTTTGTCGTGTTACGGCACCTACCGTTTTGTACGTCCAGGATGTGATGTTTGTCCAGCGTCCATCCTCCCATGTTGGAAGCATCCAGCTCGTAGCCTTGCAAGATGGCCGTCCTCTTCTCCCACAGGATCAGGTCCAAGCAGGACTCGTATTCAAACCCCACCGATACTGTGAGACACACACAGGACACAGCAAGGTGTTCAACTCTCTCCTTTTGACTGAGCTCATGTTCAAACTAAACTTTAAACTTAAAGTGGACCTATCATGCTATATTTGAATAATATAGTGTAGGACCATACCTATATAAGGCATATTTATACTTTTTTCTTTTCAAAATACCAAACAGATCATGCATTTTAGCCATGCCTCATTTTGCTCAATTTGACATTTTTTTGCTCTGTTTTTGCAAGGGCTGATTCTGTGAGAACAGCACCATCTACAGGCCTGGCATATGTACTACAGCGTCTCCAGCGCTTTTGAACGGCAATGGCCGTGGCTGTCTCCTCCTGATTGGTGGAGTTGGCCCAATAGCCGTAGCGCCACTGTCCTGACGTCAGGACAGTGTTCAAATCTGGATCAGCTTTTATCAGATCCGTTGCAGCCCCTTTTTTAGAGATTTGGGTATGGAGGAAAATAGAGAGGGTTGTGTTTTCTGACACTTGGTGAGTTCCCTGGAACACCGGGGACACATTCATGTATAAAAGACGTACAAAAGTGCATTTTGCATGATAGGTCCCCTTTAAGTCGCAGCACTGATTTGAACAGACAAGCACTCCAGAGATTCTTATTGTACACTGCAAAAAAGGAATTTTAACCCTTGTATGGTGTTCATATTTCTGTTACTCAGCCAGTGTTCGTGGGTCTGGTGGACCCGCTGCCTTTTTGGGCTTCAATTCAACACAATCAAACTATTTGATGTTAAAATACTCAACAGATGTTTACTTCATGTCAATTACAAGCAATATAAACAGCATAGATGGTTCATATTTGCCCTTTTACATTACATTTGTCTTTTCTTTGTAACTAGCTGATGCTCAATCGCATCCTCTTCTTCAAAGTCACTGTCAGACTCAGAATTCTCAGAAATGTGATCCTCACATTCTGAAACCTCTTCCTCTACATCATCATCATCAAATGGTTCTCTCTCTTCCAGAATCATTTGCAAGGCCCTCTGAGCAGAGAATCTTTTGGCCATCTTGATCAGCTGTGATAAGGACCCAAGCTGAAGAAGCTTTATTTATTGTGTCTCGCCCCAAATGTGCAGCTGGGATAGAGCGGGAAAAAAATAAAGATTGGTTCCCGCAAAACATAATGCGGGAATGTGAGAGCGGACAGGTGTCCAGTGGGTGGTCATTGAAAATGTGTTCTGATCAGAGGTCGCGTTAACCGAATATTTTCCGTCTATGACGTAATTTTTCCAAGAATGACGGAAAACTCTGAAAGCAGTCCGTCATTTTGACAGATTAGAACACAACTCGGAACAGCGCCAAAATGTCCACCAGCGGTGGCCAGGTCGACTGAGGGCGATCTACTGTACTCTACTGTAACTATTATTTAGTAATTCACACCCCTGTCCAGTTGGTGGCGAGTGTGTGCATATTAAGTAGCTATTGTCTAGTCTTGTATTTGACCTTGTTGATTACCTCGTTGTTTAACCGGCTTTAGCAATCGCAAAATGTCACGGCAGCTGAGTGTCCGAAGCTTTTTTAATAAGCCCAGTAATTGTGATGGTGTGGATAAACGAGGTGAAAAAAGAGGGATTGATGCAGTGGAGGATGAAGGACAAGCCAGTAAGACTAAAACTGACAACGTTCAGCCAGCAGCAGAGGGACAAGCAAGTGGCAAGGAAAAATAAATCATTCATATTCGTTTTGACATGAAAAGTGACCGCATGGTCGGTGTCTCTGTTCATCTTTTTTTTTCTCCATGCCATTAAAAGTTCTGTATGAATCATAAAAAAAAGGAATGAATGAACATTTGCTGCTTAGTACCCAAACATAAATATTAAATATGTCTCATCATTAAAACATGAAAAATAAAATGACGGGTAATAATGGATTATGACGGAAATGTCACGATCCTGTCCGTCAAAATGACGGACAACGAAAAACGCAACCACTGGTTCTGATATATGTTCTTCACAGAAAATGAGCCAAGGCCATTGAGTGTGGGTTTGAAGAAATCATTTATCAAATCATTTTTCTTTAGCTAAATAATGAAAACGGGTCCCACAGACCCGAACACCATACAAGGGTTAAGAAAGTTAAAAAAACTTGTTTCTGGGAAACAATTCTTATTTTTCGTCTAAAAAGTCAAATTATCTTGTTAAGAATGTTTTGCTTAAGAAAAGTATTCTTACTTTGAGAAAATATATCTGACAGATTTATTTTTTCTTATTTTAAGAAATAAACCATCAAACAACTTCTCAATTTAAGAATCTGATGAAATGACACCAATTTTACATTTCATATATATGTATTCATTGTCTAGAGCTGTCTATTCACTTTTCACATTGGCATTGAGACAACTGTGGTGTGGTATACACAACACACACACACCAAAAATACAAGTAGAAGTATTGCACGGCACTCATTGATCAAAATTGAAAACTTAACTGGTTAAAATGACCACGCAATGTTGTTAAATGTGTTCATGTTTGAATAAAAAAAAGTCTAAATATAAGAATGTTTCTGCTGTCTTAATTTAAATGCAATTATATAGAGGCGTGTGGCGCAGTGGACTAATGCGTTGGTGTTCGGATCAGGGGAGCACAGGTTCAAACCCCACTGCAGTCAGCATGTCGTTGTGTCCCTGAGACACTTCACCCCAAAGTGCTCCTGTGGGGATTGCCCACAGTATTGAGTATGTAAGTCGCTTTGGACAAAAGCATCTAACAAGTAACATGTAATGAAATATATTATGCCATTTAAAGAATTTAATTCTTATTGTAAGCTTTATTTGCTGATTTTTAACCTTAATTTAAGATTTACATTCTAAGTTTAAGACAAAGTCACTAATATATTAAATTAAAGCCAATGATTCTTATTGTAAGCTTTCTTTGCTAATTATAAATCTTAATTTAAGAAATACATTCTTAGTCAACTCAACCAAAACACTCATTTTAAGTTATTCTTTCTTAAATAATGCAGGAATCATTGCTTGTAATAAGCAAAATGTGCTTACATTTTTCATTTTTGTCTAGTTTCAAGGCCCATTACGATCTTTCAGTAGGTAGATTTTAATTCTAGTTTTAAGAATTCTAGCCAAGCAAATGTGGCTCTCTGTGGCAGGTTGTTTTGCTTGATACAGGAACATCTGACTTGATTCAAGAAGATTTTGCTTGTTTTTGGAAGGGCTGTTTTTGCAGTGGAATGCTATCTTATTTTCAATTATAAGCACCAATTTCAGGAGTTTTACCAGTAAAGTGTCTTTGTGTTGGTCCCCTTAAAGCGGGCTTCCATGAGTCATAACTCACAGTGAAGTACCTCTGCTGGACTTGTCCCTCATAAAGGTGTCAGAGGGTTTACATACCCATTATGTCCAAGCCATTTCCCTGTCAGAGCCTTTCTGCACAGACTGTTGAACCTCCTCCCTGCCATCGGCTCAGTTGCTGTGCACAGTATGTTGTCTGACTTATGTTGTGTTGGTTGGTGCAATTTCATTGTATGCAGTACATTTTCTCTCAACACTTGTTCTTCTATGTTTATAATTATTTCCAATGCTTTCCAAAATGTATTGTTAAATTAATAGGTTAACATTAAGGTTCAGACATATTCACAGAAAGCAGGAGCTTTTATGAATGGGAGAGTAGCCATATTATACATTGACCTTTTACTCTTAACACAAATGAACCTCCATTCTTTTATATCAAATACAGCACAGAGCTAATTGTAAAATCGTTAGGGCAACCACATTTTGTATTACTTTACCATTCTGTCTTTAAAAGGAAAGCTAGTATTCTTGTCTATACAGCTCTTTTCGCCCAAACATAATGCAGTTCACACTTTACAACCATTTTATTGGCTCCCAATCAGGAATCATTTAAAAATAAAATGATCAGTAGTTAGTTGTTGGGGAATGTATGTAGTCTCTGAAGTTTCTTACAGTACCGTCCATCTGACTGCTCCATGTCAAGAATGAGAATGTAAAATGCTCCTCAAGTTTGGAGCAGCTTTTTTCACAATCTGAGAGGAACATGCTGATGAAAGTCTGTGTGTAGCTTTGCTTTTAGCAGCTCACTCACCAACGGCCTCCGAGAGTCCATAGACGCGTTGGCCATAGGCGTCTGTCTTGTCCCAGATAAAGGTGTAGGATAGATTCGGTTGCGCAGGGAACCATTTCTGGAAAAGGCGACCCACAACAGCCACCATCAGGTGAACCTGGGGAGACAGCAGCAGACACAAAGGTCACCTCGTGGGACTCAGGGTTATGCTGGTACGCGGTGGTGCTGATTAGCTGACTCAAGCCGTTGAACCTCAGCATTCTGTATTGATTCATTTGTTTGCTTTACGATTTGTAGTGGCTTTGAGGAAATATGATATTATATGATATTACATTACTCGCCTTCATCAGGTTGAAAGGTATTGATGACTGTGTCATGGTGACTTTGAGGACAGGTTTATATCCAGCACCTCTGGAGCTCAGGTAGATCAGGTTCAGATCACTGCCTGGTATTGAGGTTTCTTCTTGTAACACCTGCAGAGGGAAAAACATAGCATTCACATCAGCAGGTAACATTATGTAATGTACTGGATGCACACAGCTATATGTGGCCACTATAAGTGTTTGCAGTGAGAAAAAACCCGGCATGAAAGTGTCTGGGGCCTGGCAGCTGTGCATGGTTGGAACCACCATTATTGCATGTGAAACCCAAACTTCATGCTTATCACTGCATTTCCTTAGGTTCTCAACAATATACCCACCAAGCGTGAAGGCCATTGGATAAAGCCTTGTCTGGAAAATTGAAAGAAAGACATGCAGACAAAGCCCTTTCACACAGACAGTCCACAACACCGGCGTGAAGCACCTCTGGCAGCAGAGCCAGCTCAGAAGCACGTCAGCCGAGTGGAACCAAAGGAGGCGTGTTGTTTCAAAACCATCGGCATGTAATCCTTTTTTAAACAGAAGTCGACTCGGTTTTGTGTTCGCCCTCCTGTTCCATGTCTGTACGTTTTTTACAGAACTGCGAGGTGAAAAAAGATCACAACAGATCCGCCTCTAAGGTCTGTGTGAGGGGCTGGAGAGACCGCTCCTTTCAGATAGAGGCTCAGCCTATGAATCAGTGCAGTACAAAGTATGTGTAAGATCAGGAAGATATGTTAATGTTATACAATGACATTTTTAAGCACTGATAGATTATTTGGAAAATCAATACCATAAAGATCCCCCATATATCCAACTTTTTAATCACTCCTGAAAAAACATTGAAGGTAAACTAAATGATGAGGCACTTCTTATTCCGTGTGGGCTACAACCGAAGCCCTGTTTTTTTAGCCTATGTTTGTTTACATTTTGGCAGAATTACATCACTGAAACTATAATGAAATACCTATCAGCAATGTTTTTCTAACTGTCAGAGACTTACTAAGATAATGACGACAAAGACCATTTCATTGACCATTCTGGCAGAGATCTTATTTTTATCAACGTATCAATAAATGGCGTTGGGTACATGTCCAGGGATGCAGGTCTTACCTGAGTCTCAGGTATGATGGGGCCATCCTCAGAGGAACATCTGTGAAAGGTGGACAGAGGAGAGGCGACGATGACGGGGCTGGGTCGGATGAAGCCACTCAGGTCACAGCTGGGGATGTCATTCTCCTCCTGATACAGACACACAAAACGTGTTAACACCCGTTACACTGCTTTCAACATTCATTTTACTGTGATTTGAGATGTGAGGTTAAATGAATTGTAACATTATAGTTGTAATGTTAAATGTGCTAGACCTAATAGATTGTACATCTGTATTTTGATCTGTTTTAATTGTTAGTGTGATAGACAATAAGACATGTCTTCAGTGCTTATCGATTGTTATATTTGTACCTGCCCAGGGACTGCAGATGGAAAAGAGACAACATTTCTCTATGTTGGAATTCAACAGACACTGGAATGGAATGGCTGCCATACATAAAGATTTAAGAAACATTTGGAGTGGTCTCTTAATTCTTTGCGGAGCTGTAGCATCTCTTCTCTTTTTGAGATTACTTTATTTTTATGCATTTTCCTTGTTCAATAAAGGACAACATTTTTGGAAGTTATAACACAGTCAGCAGTTATAACAATAACTGCTGACTGAGTCATCATGTTAATGAAATCATTCTGTCATTAAATATTCAGTGAGTTTATTCCATGAAAATCAACAAAGAGTCAACATGGCAAGCTTCTAAATGCTGTTTGAATAAACCGGAACATTAAAGTATAGTTTGTATCTGCAGTCATTAGTCCACGAGGCCCTGGTGACAGACAGCGCTCACCTTCTTCATCACCAGGGTGTCCATCACATAGAAAACGTTCCATGGCACCCACACTGTTCTGTACTGCGTGAGGAATGGAGCGCGCTCAAAACTCAACGTTAGGGAAGCTCCGCCGTTTGCCAGGAGATCAAACCTGAGGCACATCCACAACAAACAGAGAAACAAATACATGTTTACCGTAATTAATAGAAACAACAGCTGAAGAATAGGAATCATTCCCTTTGAGCGTGTAATTCCTCCTCACAGTCAACAGGCACTACTAATGTTTCCATTCTTGATTTATTATTATGTTATTATTTTAACAATAAAGAGGCAATTTAGAAATGCCATCACTGGGCATTTCAGCGGTGCTTGCATGTTTTAGTTTGACTAAATTGGCAGTGTCGCAGGGATATGAGATATAATGTCTTATTTTCTCTGCTTTCTCAGCAAATTCAAGCTTACTTTTTTCACATTGTACACTGGGAAGAGTAAGGTGTACTGATTGAACAGTCAGAGCTTTATAGTGTTTGACAGTGAGAAAGGGCAATCATTTTAAAACAAACAGCTTTAAATGTTCATTTCGTTTTTACGCTTAAAGGAATCACAATCTCTTATTCAGGTCGGGACTTTACTTCACCTGTAGAACACTGAAATCAGACACAAACTGACCTGCAAATAAACCATGTGTCAAAAAATATATTGGCATACAGCTGGCTTTTACACTGTTCAATGGTACATTTGTCTACACATATCTATTTTAAAAACAAAGGAAGTGTCAAGTGAAACATTTATGGAGAAGGGTGCAAGGTGGATATAAAACAGAAGGCTTTATACATATACTTTATAATAATAAATAAATACATACATGCCATCCTTGCGTGTCACAGTGTATCCATGTTCAGCATAGTGGACAAATGTGACGTTGACTCCAATCAGAGGTGTTCCATCAGCTGTCAACACCTGACCGCGAATTATCGACACCAGGCTGCAGACACAGAGGGAGAGAGGGTCACTTTATTAGAGCTGCACTCTGCATCCAAACAATATCATGTATTATATCTGACTGCAATTCATGTAGGAAATTAAGCCATCATGGATAGAAAATTACCCTGCTGGAAATCTTTCTTGGGGAAGAAATTCAGTTTGGAAAGACACAGAGACACCACCGCCTTCATCAGCATCACTGTGACTCTGTACATCACTGTGACTCTGTACATCACTGTGACTACAGTACAACAGCACTCACAGCATGCTACTTAGACAATAATCTAATAATTACCTTTTTTTCTTATTACATATCCCCTACTCCCCATCCTTATCATGGGTCACTTCGAATATTTCTGTATCTGTGTTTTTGTTGGTTTTGACATGTATTCTCATTCACCACCCCTTGCTATAGGGTATACATCCATGTAAAAGACGTGCATGTCGGTAAGGTAACTTAAAGGTACAACAAATCTCACGGTGCATTAACTTTCTCATTTCACTAAACGCCTCCATTAAGGAATCTAACTGTTCAATCATGTCGACATCAGTCCTGAATGTAGCAGTCCAATAGCTTAATATCTGACCAGATCACAAAAGTCAATTGAAAACACCAAATAAATACAATTAAAAATGAGACTAAATTATAAATGCAAGCTGAATGTATTGGTGGTTTTATAGCCTTTTGAGTCAAATATTCTCAAACACAATGCAATTATTTCTACGTGAAGAGATCTAATACAAGAATAATTAAGAATACATTTTGAAAAATATGCTGATAAGCTCTTGTTAGGAAATAACTGTAATCTCATTAGATATAGACTTCCTTAACTGTAAAAAACTCACATAAAACTGACCAAAACCTGGCTTCTCTCTCAGTCCAGCCATACAAGTAATACCAATACTGGCTAAAGAGCCTGATTCATGAAGTCAGATGCTAATTCCAGGTTGTGATGCACATTTCTTTGATAATTATGCACCAATTCAACTTTAAAACAGCAAAGCACTTTTAAATTCACATATTTGCATCGTTTTTATATTCTCATTTTATTTCCTTTAATGTATATTTATGTTTCATGGAAACATTTTGTTCGAAAATAGTTTTTAAGAATATATTTTATATTTTCTTTTATAATAGGTCAAAACCTATTTGGCAATACACTGTTTTGAGGTCTAATAAAACATTTGTATTACAGGGTGGAAGGCCCATTCCATTATGGAAATACAGGACATTTTTCCTGCAGGGTTTTGGCCCTCTGCTCTTATGAAACATTCAGGAAAGCATAACAAATGTGACAAAACAATGACTGAACAGAACTGCAGTCATGTTTCTTTGCTGTCAGTAGCTCTGCCTTTCAATCTGTATCTGTTGCAGACTGCACCCTTATCTTTCTCTCCAATCATATTTCATGAATGTTACATCTGACAGTGTCAAACAATCAATATATCAAAATAAGACACACATTATTAATGATGCCACTTTAAGGAAAACAGTGTTTGTAGAAGTAATTCAATCCTTTTTTAAAGAAGACATGATTACCTTTTATTGAACGGAGAGTCTCCAGTGATGACGTGAGTGGATTCAGCACCCAGCAGGAAGTGGATGCGCTGGTAGAAAGACCTGGCAGCCTGAGGAAATAAAAGAATTAAACCGATGGACTGATGCTGCTTCCTTTAATACCTCACTGGAATCTGTTGCTGTTCTGAAAAGTGCTGTGTGTTCGTACATGGGAATGACAGTAACATTGTGTAACATCACGTCATGTTTTGTTATTTAATCATTTCATGTTAAGTTATTTATCAGGTTTATGTTACATGTTTCATATTTAGTTTATAGTCTATGTTTAGATTTAGGTTTATGTTAAGTCATGTCTCATTGTTCACTTTTTAAGTGACAGTCACTCATGTCAGTTATTGCACTAGCTGTTTTCTCTTTCAGAGCCCTTTACTTCCTGCCATTGTGTGTTTTCCCTCCAGTGAGATCGGCAGCCCTTCCCTTGATTGTTGCAACCTGTGTCCCCTTACCTATTGTATATATTGTCTTCGTCTCCCTTTGTCAAGCCAATAGTCAAAGATTATTTAATTATAGGTTTTACGCATTTTGCTCTTGCTACATTGTGCGCTTCTTAGAAGAGAGATTTTCTTGTTGTACTTTGTTTCTTCTTTAAGTATAGACTTTTTTAAACCTTGTCCTAAATAGTGCATTTGAGTCCAAGTATTTGTGTCACGTTCTTACTTTCACTTTATTTCTGAATGGAGCTCCTTACCTGCTGAGGAATCAATGAGGACGGGGACTGGCTCAGCACCTCCCCCGGGTCAGGAGACCCTCTGCAGTATAACTGGCTCTGGCAGGAGGGCTGCAGGCAGCAGTCTGGATCCATACAGTCAGTCAAGCCATCTGAAACACACACACACAAGATTAGATACTACTCGCATTTCATATACAGAATACATCAATATTGTTGATAAACTTCATGCACTATTCCTTTAATCATATTTTTCTAATATATACAGTAGACACCAAATTCATCTCAAGAATAAAATGTTGATTTATAGCAATGGCAATGAGGACTAATTACATCAATGAAATGTCTAACTGGATGAGCGTTCTTTCAGTCCCAACGTTCTGAAGGGTCGAACACACACACACACACACACACACACACACACACACACACACACACACACACACACACACACACACACACACACACACACACACACACACGCACACGCACACACACACACACACACTCCTGTGTCTCAGGTCTATGGTATCTTGATATGGTGAAGCTGCAGATAGCTGGTGTTTGGTGCTGTCTATCAACAGGTTTTACTTTGACTATTTCCATGGAATGTTTTGAATTCAGAGGTTTCCACCAGCATATATGAGAGCAGAGTATTATTGTTGTTACTTGTTTGAAACTGTGCTGCTTCAGAGCTTCCTTTTCTCTACAGCTTCTATTTAAAGCATTGCAGGAGCCTTTGAACACTGGAGCTCGTGTACTACACTTGAAAGAGCCGCTCCTGATTGGTGTTCAGCCTTTCCACTGCCACATCAAGGTTCACACTAACGTTGTGCATTGCTGAGGAGCAGCAGTGTGTGTGTATACAGTGTGTGGACAGTGCGTTAACACCCTCTGCAGGTTCGCTCCCAGCAGTGAGCAGCTCTCAGCAGGAGGCAGCAGATGAGCCAGCCCATCATTAACATGCATCATTTTCACTTCTTTTAGATAGTCAACAGTAAAGCTCCTTTTATAGTGGATTGTTAAGGGGGAGCAAATCAGTTTTTTTGTTGAATAAATCGGACGATGATCAATAAGGTTTTGTTCAGGCAGACAGTAGCTCAGTGAGTAGGGGCGTGGCTTGGGAAGCACATGGTCACGGATGGTCACAGGTTCAAGTCTCTCTACAGACCAACACAAAGAAATGTAGCTGTAAAGGATCCAGTTCACCTCCTGGGCAGTGCCGAAGTGTCCTTGAGCAAAGCACCGAAACCCCAACAGCCTTTGCTCTGACAGACATCTGGCCTATGTCTATAAGTACATTCATTTCATTCTTTTGCCTTTTTTATCAGTCAACATGACATTGTTGGTTAGGATGCATTGAATCCACACTGGCTCTGTATTTAAAGGAATAGCGCTTCAAAAGGATTTTGCATCTGATGTTCCTTATTATTTACCCAAAATAAGATGACATCAGCGTATAGGTGATTTAGGTAGGTACTCTTTTGCTTACTAGCACATCTATCAGACTTAACCATACATTTATATTTTGGTGTCTTACTTTGACTCCAGTGAGAGGATGGGTTCAGTTGGTGCTGCAGGTGGCTTATTATTTTTGACAGTATGTCACTACATATCTGCAGGGGGGGGGGGGCGCATTCAATCGTGGGCGATTGCACAATGGTGGGACAGTAAAGAAAGTTCTTGCGACGTCCAGATATTTGTTGTCTTTGTTTTTACCCCATGTCAGACCATCAATCACACACCACATACCTCCTTCGTTGTCCTTGCCATCCGTACAGAGTGTTTCCATGGCTACGTGACACCCGGCCCCTCTCCACCCTGATTGGCAGATGCAGTGCCACCCACTGGCCTCCAGAGTGCAGCGTCCGTTGTTGTTGCAGAGACCGGGACACCCCTCTGAGCGGGGGCAAACACACAGTTAGAGAAGTTAGAGCGGAGGGGGGAGGGGGTTGCTGGCCATTAGGTTCCAACTAGGCTTCAACCAATATCAAAGGCATGTGTTGATGGTATTGTACTGAAAGATGAGCTTTAACAATGTGTTTTATATTTTCACTGCAGAAATGCATCATCATCTGAGCTTGCAGATGCCTCTGAAACAGCACTGAGACCATCACAGGACGAGTAAGAAACTGAGCATCTTAATATTCTTACTCTACCATTAAAAGTATAGACTGTTCATTTCTTTGTAAGTGGGCTAACTTACTAAATCTGCAAGGGATCAAACATTTATTTCCTCCACTGTATTTCCCCCAAAAGGTACACGTTTTAATATCTTAAGTAGGGTTAATGTGTCTCACATTTTGGTTAAAATAAACCATTTTCTACAATGTAGTGTAAGCGACCCAGCAGCTGCAGGTACTGCTGTGCAATGGAAGTGTTTCAAAAGTCCTTGAATTGCAAAAATATGGTTAGGATCACGTATGAGACGTTAGCTGTTACGTTGCCTCATATATATGCCGTTAAAACTGTGCTATATATACCTGGCTGCTAAATCCTAAGAACTGTTAAAGGATGTGTATTTTGATAATTATGTAACCTTTTTTTTTCTTATTATATCATAACTTAGTACTTTTGAATGCATGTAACATATGTAACATATGTAACATTATGTCTGTGTCTGTGTGTCTGTGAAAGTCTGTGGCTCTTTTTTCTGCTGTAACTACGTAAATGTCCCCTCTGTGGGACTAATAAAGGTATTCTGATTCTGAAGTCTCACTGATAACAACTAAAGCATATCTGTTCTATAGACACACGTGTCACAAACAACTGAGTCTAATATTGTGACAGAACATCAACATTTACAGATGCTGCAATTGTAAAGCCAATGGAAAAATTCCATAATTAGACACACTTTGTTATTTTTTGAAGAATTCCCATAACTCCTGGAGCATTATGTATCTCATAAACGTACAGAAAATATGGAAAAAGCAGAGAGGAATAATGAGAATGACTAAAGGACCTGAGCTGAACACACACAGTCGGTGTGTCCGCTGTTGGCCATTTCACAGCTAACATCTGGGGAGTTGGTACAGTGGCTGTTTGTGGCAAATCAACACAAGCTGTTCAGCAGTCAATTCTTGCAAATTGTTTGTTGCCTTTATTTATCAAATGATGCAAGGCCAAATTTGCTTTGCTTTCTGTCTGAACACATGTTGAGTTGAGAGACATCTGGACGTAAATGCTTAACATGTCAGTCTTCATTTTTGTGCAAATGTCTAACTTCTATTGGAGAAGTCTAACTCTTCGGAGTACTGTAACAGCTTCATTTCATTATCATCAATATAACCATCATGTCTACTTATTTTCTGCTACTGTTTGTAATTTGTGGAACTGTTGCACTGGGAGTTTATATGGGCTTTCTTCAAGAATCATGAACGTCTGTGCCAACTAAACAGCACAATTGATTTCGTAAGTGGTGTGTGAGTGTGTGCTAAGATTAGAGTTATTTGGAAATAATCAAGCTTCTCTCAGCTGTTGATGAAAAATGTAATCTGTAGTCACCTGAACAACTTTTCGGATAAGACCTCAGTTTACATTATTATAAGAGATGTATTACCCCATGTAAAGGTCTGAATGCTGTTTCAGAAGCTTCCTCACCTCATAAGACTACACAAGGAAAAACTCAATCCTTGTCTTTTGGCATGAGTTTTTATTTGTATCCAAACAGAATGCTAGCTCCAGTCCAAATACACCACCACCACCAAAGACCCATATTAGTTCAATCCTGATGTGTAAAGGTGTTTGGCCCTGTGTGATAAAACGTTCTCCAACAGATGAATTGACAGACTGAAAGACAGATTGATAGACAAATAAGACAGATCAACACATTGACCCACATGTGAGACACAGACTGACAGACAGACAGAGAGTCAACCCTCGGTGAAATGCACGTTGTAGTTTCACATGAACCGCTAAGAGCGCCTACAGCCAAAATGGTTACTGTGTCCTGCGTGGCTTCAATCAGAAATCAATTCAAAATCTTTTTTTTCCTCTGTGAACAAAGAAATGTGTTATTGTTGCATAATATGGGGATGAAAAACAGGGTATACAAACAAAGAAGACGCTGAAGTTGAAAGCAGAACCTTCTGAAAATTGTACTATTTTATATACTAGATGTCTGTCCAAGTGAAGTCAAACCATGATCTAAGGAGAATATAACAACCAGCTCGCTGACAATGATCCCAGCTTCTTTTAACCCTCCTGTCGTGTTTGTTTCTCCCCCTTACTTTGGTGTGCCTGGTCAGATTTGATTTGAGATTTGAGGTCTGTTTTAACTGCTCTTACATTAACAAATAAACCCTTAATCATCACCACATTTTATTGAACACCCTTTTAAACTGTGAACAATGTCTCAGACGACTGGTTTACATGTATCACTGCAGCGAATATACGAAGAATAGTCTCTGAACATTTATTTAAAAAAATCTTATTTGATCGATATGTGTGTGTACTATCTGATGGATGAACATAATCTAGGGTTACCCATTCATTTCATATGGAGGTCATTTTTGACAGGGAACACCATAGGCGTTACAAAGTTGACTAAACCACTCAAAATGAAATGAAAGTGGTGATCAGTATTTTATATGTTCAAAGGTCTACTGTGGAGGATAGCACAAGACCTTGAAGAGATCAAATGTAAAACACAATATCTATGATTAATGAAAGTAGTTAATCGGTCAGATTTGATCCCAACACGACAGGAGGGTTAAAAAGGAAGCCCTTTCTGTTTCAGAAATATGGATTCCTTTAATCTTGTTCAATTAATCCGAAAAATACTAAACAGACCACAGGTTAAAATCCATGTGAAAACACAACAGGGAGACAGATAAACAGGTACAGAGCGCAGAAAGTATAGGGAGGACTGCAGGCCTCCCAACACTATACTTTATGCCTGTGAGGCCGGCAATCTGATAAAAGAACGGTGAGTGTCGGGACCAAGCAAAGCCCAGCTGGAGAGACAGGACGAGGCATGGAGGGAAAGATGGAGGGGAGGTGGAAAGGAGGGGGAAAGATGAGAAATAAGATGGAGAGAGGAAGGTGGAGATAGACAGAGGAACAGCAGCTGGTTTACTTCACACAAACATTTATATCAGGCTGGATGCAAGACAACAGGATCACACTTCAGCTTTGTGTCTGCTTGTGTGTGTGCGTGCGAGCATTTCCATTTCTTTGAGTATGTTGCGTGTGTCTTCATCTGTATGTCTGCGCTTTGTGTGTTCAAATCAGTGACAGGAACTAAATGATGTGGCAGAAAAGCAAGAAGATAATACAAAACACTGAGCATTTAAATACAGAAATACAGGAAAAATAAAATGGAATGGAATAAATCAGAATCAAAGCAAGTTTGAGTTGACAAAGCAGAGTGTGAGGTGGTTGTACTTTGGGACAGTGAGGCCTTTATTAAATCTTTGGCATGATTTACCTTTATATCCTGAGAATAGGAGAGGGCACGAGGGAGAGAGGGAGGAAAATTAGGGAAAAAAGTAAATCGAAACAAAAGCAGCAATGCCAAATATACTCTCTGTGATGGACCGATGAAAATGGCAGCCAAAGGAAGAGGAGAGGAAAAAGAGCTGGGATCTGAGGGGGGGGGGGGGCAATGACACAGAGACACAGCAGCAGAACCTCCACACAGTAATCATTATCACTCCATTTACACCTGTCTTCATTCACGTTTAAATCACACAATAGGTTAAGGTACAAAGGGCAGCTTAAAGAAATTAAATACAATCACAATGAATAGAGCTCGTGATCTTGCACCATTCACAAAATCATTTGTTTTTTTTGTAGCCTGTAGGTCAACGATCTCTTTTTCAAGGGAGACCTGCTCATCTGGCTGGAAGACAGTACAGTTGCCGTCAAAAAGAAGTTGGACAAATGAAACAGTAGTTTGCTGTTAAAAGAAGTAGTTCCTCTAATGACCACTAGATGATGGATTGAAGAAAAGTGTCTGAATGAGGGCGTGGCGTTTGAAAGATGTAGGACGTAACTTGCATTAAAGAGCAAAGGTGCTATTTAGTTGCATTATGGGAAGCGTAGGATCCAGCTTTTTATTCAACAAGCAGGGTGTTTGACTTCTTCTTTTCTAGACCACAATTTCAACAATCTCAAAAGGATGATTAGTGGTGCAAACATGGATATTTGAACCACTAGAAATTGAACCTATTTTGGGCTTTTGTCAAATCTTTCAATCTAAATGGTTTGTCAGGTGATACAGTATTGATATAGTATCATGTCTTCTTTATCCGGAACAGTTGACAAAGCTAGGCTTAGAAAAGTCCTTTGCAAAGTAGTGACATTTATCTCAGTAATGCTATCAACATGTAAAGCACTTATGAGCAGGAGGCATTGCAATAAAGAAAGTCAATTATGAAGATATCTTTTTGGAGCCCAAACCCTGACCAGCTTATAGAACTGGAACTGTATCCAGAACATGAGGTGAGAGAAGAAAACATATTTTTATTTCCCAATAATACTGTGCCTCTGAGCAAGTATAATAGAGCTCTTTATCGTGAATATACAAAAAGCTTCAAATCAGCTTTAATACTGTCAAAGTGCATAACCATTTTTTTGCAATTGTGTAAATACTTTCAATTACTAAAATGTCCTATAAAAAACACATATGACTGACATCTTTAGTACAAAAGCCGACTGTTTGAGTCAGATGATGGTTTTAAATCCATTCACACACATGTCGGAGTACGCCGGTGTGCAGAGACAGAAGCAGCTTACAGGAGAACTAAGCCTGAGGCACAGCCAGGAGTTTCACGTCTGCATCAGAAACCTCTATATTATATTTGTCTGCTTGCTCTCAGCTTGTCTTTAAAAGTAAGATTATGTGTTGACTATCCCAAGCCGCTAATAATGTCCACTATTCAAATGTCAAACCCACGGAATATGCAAAGGAATAAGTAAACAATACGAGTTTAAGATGTTTTTGGAAGACACTTATTTATTTTAAAGAGTTTATCTTTGGTACCGGTTCTGTTTAATGCTTCATTTCCCCTGTTTTCATCTAGCAACATACTAGAAACTGGATCACTGCCCTGTTATATGATTTGATTTGAATCTAATTGCAGTAGCATTTAGATCTGTACAGACACCTTAAAATATAAGTCATCAATGTCTAAGTTAACCATGATAGAGATCATATAAAAGCTAGAAATCTAACAGTGGAGGTCAGCATTCCTCATTTCAAGACTCCGTCCAATTTTGACCTATATTTCTTTCACATGTTTGAGCTTAAGATCAATTTAGTGCGAATATAGTTAGGTTTATAAAAAGATTTAGCAGGCAGAACTAAGCATTCAAGTTGATGACAAACACAGTGTTGATTCAGTCTAGAAGGATAAACCCATGAGATGTATCATCTCGTTTACAAGGCATCCCAGCATTTCAAAAGGTGAAGCTTCTTGGGAGCTACGTACCAAAATAAACAAGTCAAAGAAATATATTCCAGGTCTAATGTTTTTTGATCTGAAACATCAACAAGTCAATATTCAAATGATGAAATGCTCAAAGCGACAGTAATAGTGCATGTTATCTGGCCAAATGAAAGAGAGAATGGGAGGGGAATAAACAGACTTGGGATCTCCAAAGTGAACCAAAGAACCTCTGAAGCAGCCACAGCTCCACAGAACATAAAGAAACGCAAAGGAAGAAAGGATGAAAAAGAAAGCGCATGATGAGGAGGAGAAGAGAAAAGAGCACAGTACCTTTCACTCTAATGTCCGGGTTGTGAGCTTTAAGGGAGGAGGGAAAAGAAGAACAGATGGATAGAAAAATAGCGTTTAGTCCAGAAAAATAGGCAGGAGTAGAGTTCAAAACTCAGTAACAGCGCCAGTGATCATCTGATCACAATGAGTGAAGAGCAGAGAGAGGTAGAAGTGTTAACGACAAGAACAGAGGAATACAGACAGATAAAGAGGTTCTGATTTATTCCTCTGAGAGCACTCATAAGTACTAGAATGATATAGTCTAAAAGCACATGCTGAAATAGAAATACAGCCAATTAATGAATGTGGAAATAATTCTACAGTTAGGTCTCCGTAACGAGATGTAAATGTGATGGTAGAGAGGACAGTCTGTCCAATGCAGAGCTGCTGGACCAGCAGAGGATTAACCCTCATCACACTGTTGTTTTGCTCTAAGTGTGTGTGTGCCGTGTGTGTGTGTGTGTGTGTCTGTCTGTGTGTGTGTGTGTGTGTGTCTGTCTGTGTGTGTGTGTGTCTAAATAACCCAAACCAATTTGCAACTCTTTCCCAGCAATACTTCAGCTGGTTTGGTGGTCTGCTTGGCCCCAATATCATGTTTCAATGTTTGACTGTTACATCCCAACAGGAAGGGGGTTTTCAAGTCGCCATGGTTACTTACTTAAAAGGACAATCCTTTTTTACAGTACTGTTGCTACAACGCACCTTTTATCAACCCTGAGAACCAGCTCTTCTTGACTGGTTTACTTTTAAAGTAAAGATGTTATCGTTCATTCTAAAGCACCACCTTTATTCTCTCTGGAAAAAATATCTTCTTATGACATCATTTATGTCCGTAATAGAGTCCTCAACGCTGTTAATCTTGCTTGTCTTTCAGCTGGTTGTTTTGAATTCACAGCAAAAACATTACTGTTTGGGTTCAGAACAGTGCTCTCATAAACGTTGTTTCAAGCAGCAGTCGGCAGCTGTCTTAGTGAAAAGGCTCTGATGGTACATGACCAGCCCAGCAGCAAACAGCAGTCACTGCATTAAGCAGATCAAAACATCCTGGCTGAGGAGCTGGGAGCTAAGAGGATAGTGAGTTTGAGACTAACCTTTCATTGTAAGGTTGTATTAATATACATTTTGAAGCAACAGTTACAGGCACTCATAACCAGTGGCGAGCCGTCAGGGCCCTCTAGGCCCTCTCTGAGGGCCTAAGATATTCTCAAAAATAATATTTGAAAATAATAAAAACAAAAACATAATTTTTTTAGTAATATCTTTCATTAGTTTTACCAAAATAACTTAATTGAATTGTATTTAAAATAACATTTCCAAAGAAATAAATCCTTCGAATCTGCCTGTTCAGTTTCTGTTAGAATGTGAAGGGTTAAATGAAAGAAGCTCCTTTGGCCCTCTCTGCGAGTTACTGTGAAGATAGGAGCTGATTGGTGGTCCTGCTGTAAATTCACAGAGGGCCCGCTATAGTAACTCCACCAGAGAGTAATGTCAAGTGACAGTACAATTGACCAATCATATCTTCCCTCTAAATGGGTGGGCTTTATTTTCGCGGACTTTATGACAAGTTCCGCCCGCTGTGAAGTTTATGCATGTGTATAAAGCGGTATAAAGTGGTGCAGTGACGCGTCCTATAACCCGGAAGTAAGCTGCGCTCGGGTTCCATCGACAAAAAAGCAATGGGATTTCTCCATAGGGTTTTGGAAAATAGCTGGAAATAAGGTCTGTGGAAAACGAACCTGTTCGAAACGAACGTTTTGTTCAGCCGGATAATATCCACATGTCTACCCTACTTTTATAATTTTCGAATCATAAATCTAATTGATATATTTATGATTAGCATAAGTTCGTTCCTGATGGCTCATGTCAGTGATAGTGATGACATCGTTGCGAAATTATTAACCGAGTCATTTTCAAGATTGAGTTACAATGATAAACTGGAGTGGCAAAGGATCAGGGGGGGGCAGAGGGCCTAGGTATAAAAGTCACGGCTCGCCACTGCTCATAACAACATTACAAAGTGTTGCTTCCTATCAACAAACGCAGGATTATCCTTGTTTTCACTTGTTTCAAGCTTGAGTGATTATGAACACAACGTGGATCTCCTTTTTACCATTGAAACTGTCGAAACACATGACTTAATGCAACCACTAAAAATCATCATGCTAAAAAGATGTGCCACCTTTAGTTTAGTGGTGATGGTGATCAGCCATGTGACCGTGGAAAACTGAATACTAAAGGAAGTGAGTCATCAAGCAATGCTCGATTATAGTTGAACTGTATTCCCTTGACAGTGCAATCTGGATTCGCAAAGGAAAACACATTTGGGAAATGTGTTTTCAACCAGAGCACACACATCCAGAAACCAGTGACCAGTCAAATGCTAGCATGTGGAGGAATAAACTCCATGTGTGTGCATACTGAGTGACATCTAAGTTGTGTGTGTGTGTGTGTGTGTGTGTATGTGTGTGCGTGTGTGTGTGTGTGTGTGTGTGTGTGTGTGTGTGTGTGTGTGTGTGTGTGTGTGTGTGTGTGAATGATCTACTCACCAATATTGCAGTGCTCCCCTGTCCATCCTTGGTCACACTCACACTTGCCCTCCTTACACACTCCGTTCTTGCTGCACAGTGGATGGCAGGCCTTCTGGTCACACACACTTCCTGTCCAGCCCTCCTCGCATCGACACACACCGCCGTAACACACGCCATGGCTGCCACAGTCCACTTCACACACCTCTGTAGGAGAAAGAAAGAAAACATCAATGCACATGCAAACAAGTGCAATGGTACCTGCAGTACGGCCTGCATCCATTGCTTTGGGGAACACCAATACTGGACATTGGAAAGCATTCTAAAGAAGCATTATAAACAAAACTATATAAATGCATTTTAAAATATGCATCACTACTGTCAGGATTGTACCAATCTGAGTGTGTGGTTGTGAGTGTGTTTGCATGTTTAAGACAAATAACAAGATAAAGAACAGGCCAGGACAAAGGACATCATTTTCAGTTGTATATGCGAGGTGTCCACTAGTGAATGTGAGAGTATTTCAATAGTGTGTGTGTGAGGTTAATTTTCAGTAGTGTGTGTGTGTGGTTAATTTTCAGTAGTGTGTGTGTGAGGTGTTCAGTAGTGAATGTGAGAGTATTTCAGTAGTGTGTGTGTAAGGCCAGATGTTTTCAGTAGTGTGTGTGCGAGGTTAGTTTGAATTTTGGCCTACACGGCCCTTCATAAACGGCAACACAGATAGAAGTGAGAACACACTCACACACACAAACTGCTTTCCTGGTCTTTGTTTTTATGTCAAGCCATATGCTACTGATCTGCATTCCTCCTCCAACTTTCTCTATCCCTCCTCTTTTCAGCTCCAATGCTGTCACTTGTCTTCTCCGTCTCAGTTTCTCTCCCTCTCATTATCTTCCCTTCTGCAGCCCCACACCACAGAATAAGAGACTGTCCTTTGCAGGACAAAGATAACACTGGCCATTGGTTCAAACAACCAAAAAACAACTTATGCAAACGTTTACCGACAAGCAACCTCTTACCTCAGTGTAAATGATGACTCATATCAGAGGAGCCAAGACGGAAAACATATGCAACATATTTGAATGTCACAAATACTGTGACTTTTCCAAAAGAAAACCCTTCAGGGAGGAGATCGGTGTGGATGGGTGTTTTCTCTTTTCCCTTGTTTGTTATCCATTCCTTACTGATGGTGAACGTTGAATTCCTTTCACCCTTTAAAATGTTATACGTTACAATAACTAGAGCTCTGAAAAAAAAAAGTTTATTAAATCTCTCTCTCTACATGTATAGCAGCCATTACATTCCAGTGTGTGTTCAACTTTATTCATTTTACTCAAACACATACCTATACATTATAAAACCAGATAAACTCATAATGCTGCAGGGGACTTTTTCCAGAGCTGTAGTTACAAGTCAACAATGTAATCAGTGACCTAATCTGTGTTTCAAAATATCAAAGTAATGTAACCTGATTACATTCCGTTACCTTTGGATTACATTACATTACATTGCATTACATTGCATTTAGCTGACGCTTTTATCCAAAGAGACTTACAATAAGTGCATTCGACCAGGAAGATACAAACTTGAAGAAAACAGAATCATATAAGTACATTAGGTTTCATAGAGCCAAAACATTTCAAGTGCTACTCAACAGGCTTTAGATAAGCCAGTCCTTTATTAGTATATAAGTGCTTTGTTAGTCATTCTTTGTTAGGATTACTTCTATATTAAATGCAATGCAAATAAAAACAACAGAAAATAAATAACAATTAGATGTTTTACTTAAGTGTATGCAATGTAACCTTAGAAATGAAGTAACCAAGATATTTCATATCAAAATCTAGTAATCTGATTATTTCTTTTACGTAATCTCGTCACATGTAATCCGTTACTCCACAAGCCTGCTGGTTCTACTTTTTGCTTTGTGTTTCTGTGCTGCCCATCTATACACCTCCTCTGAATCAGTGTCATTGGTCTTCCAGCCAATCAGCTCCTTCCTCTCTCCGTGTTTTCCAGCCTCTTTAGACAGTCTGTCATGGCCTTATTAGTTTCACCTGTCGCCCATTAGCCCTGCCCACCTCACCCCCTGCACTTCAATCCCTCATCTGATTAGTTTGTAAATTATGGTTTTGAAATGGATTCTCAGTTAGCTTCTAGTATTGCTTCCCTTGAAAAAGAACCATTTGATCTAACTCTAAGACCTTCAACATGCATCAGCCAGACTGTTGTGCTGGCTCTTCCTCTGTGGAGAGGAGCAGCGACCACAGCAGGGGGCGCACACTGTAAGTCATCTTGAGCCCATAATACTCCTATGTTGGCTTCATTGGCTGCAGGTTAGTTTACAAATGGATGTGGAGATGGTAAGGATGTAACTGGCCTTAACGTGTTTCAGCCCCCAGCGCTGTCTCTGACCTTGCACCTACTCACAAGTGGAAGTTTGATGTCCTCAAGCAAGGTTTTCCTGGCCCAGCTATAACACTTTAGTTCTTTATATCACACCTTAGAATGATGTTTTTGTCCATTCGTCTTCGCCTGAAGTCTTCAGTTGTTTCACCAGCCATGTCTGCCATCTTTATGGCTGTTCCTAGGGGCTTGCATAATGAACACTGTTCTCTTAATTATGTTCTGCTCCATGACTGCTTTTTGTTTTATTTAGCGCTGATCCTGCTCTTCCTTATACTCTCAATGATTCTGTAAAGCACTATATCAACTATTTTAAACTAGGTGGGATGCTGCTCGAACAAATGCTTAAAACATGTGTATCATTGTAGTATATTTCTATATATTTCTGTGCAGTGGCGTAACAAGGTTGTGATTGGCCCCGGTGCAAATATTGTTTTGGGCCCCCCCCCCCCCCCCCCCCCCCATCGCCCAAAACATAAGCGCACGCTGATGCGCTCACACACGCACGGACACACACAACCACTCAGAAGCACCACATGTAGGCTATCAACAACAGCCTGCCCTGGCCTCAGACCACCACAGCCTGACAACGGCACAGCGAACTAATCACACAATCACTTTACAGAATTAATCGAGATTTCGAGGACGATGTATGACAAAAAAAACTGTCTAATTTTGTCAGTTTAGCCGTTACATCTCTTTGTTCTCTCTTGTCCTTTCTCTTTTGAGCACCACTCTTGTGCTTTGGTTTGCTGTAAATTATAAATGCAAGCTATTACATTTTTTATAATGTTGCCGAAATTGCTGCTGCTACAGTAGCTACAGTACCTATAACTTTTGAGGTTGATTAAACGGTTCGCACGTCACGCAAGGTATCACATGACATGAAAGGGAGCAAGGTCATTGGACAGACAAATTACAAATACATTGAGGTTGCTTGGTCACTTTGAAGACTGCATGAACCGGTCAATGCCATTGGGGCCCAAAATAAATCTATACAGTATATACATTTTTTTTTTTTTTTTTTTAAATCCTTTTTTTTTGCATGGGCCCCTGCGTTGCACCGCCTGCACTGTCGATAGTTACACCACTGTTTCTGTGGCTTTGTGAGATTGTATAGTGTTATATTGAGTACTCAATTTATTCAATTGTTTACGTTATGTTGTGTTTTATTGATTTACTCTAGTGATATATGTCCTTTCTATTGTGAAGGAGTATGTTTGCTGCTAATGTTAATTTCACATTTGTATTTGTATTACATTTGATCTTATTGTATTTTTTAAATATGTGTAACTTGTGTAATGCTCAACAACACTGCTGCTGGGACAAAATGTGTTTGCAATTGTGGCTGAATAAAGTTTCCATGTATCTATGTAGATGTTATAAGAAATGAGCCAAATGGAAAGAGCTCCTTCACACTGACAGACATTGAACGCGTAACACACCTAGAGAGCAGTCGGGCCCGGTCCAGTTCTGGTCGCAGCTGCAGGTGCTGGTCTCTGCGTTGTGAGTGCCGTGGCCCGAGCACTGATCAGGACACATGGCCTTAGCTATCTCACAGCTGGCCCCCCCCCAGCCCGGCTGACAGTGACACTCTCCGTGAATACACACACCGTGAGCCGAGCAGCTGGGGTCGATGCAGTCCACTGCAGGCAGAGAGAGGAAGAGGGGGGTTATACGGTATACACACACACATTAACATTTAACATCTGTGCCCACTAGAGGGCAGCGAACAAGCTTAGACTCTGACTGTAGTCGAGACTGAAGTCCAAGATGATATGTTCAGGCTCCACAAAGATATATTTATATAGGATGGTTAAAGCTTTGGAACCATAAGCATCATTATGGTTTAAACTAAGTTTGGAGAACTGGAGTTGAAGAAAAGTTAGTGTGTTTTTGTGGTCACATTGATCCAATGCAATATTTTTTAGATCAACACTGCTTCAGACCCACTGAGATGCACTTCTCTGAGGTGTCCGCTGCTTTAGGCTCAGTGTTTGCTGTTAAAGTGAAGGAGTGGCTGGGGAATAGACTCCAAAACCTAGAAAGATCATCAAACCTGTTCTTAAACATTAGTGATTAATGTTCTTTCCACGACATGATTGAGTTGTACCGTTTGCCTCAGTAAGGCTTACACAAGCATAGCTTTGACTGTGTTCCTTGATAAATGACTGCGGTGTCCAGGTGTGGATCGTCTCTTTGTTGTGCAGTCAGTTACAAACAGCACAGGAAACAAATGGATAGACTGACAGATTTTGAACATTGATGATGATGATTATGATGATTGTTATTTGACTGGTTTTCTCTGAATAAAGAGAAAATAACATATGCATTAGAATACTTTAATAAATATACAATTAATCGAAATGTATGGCTTCTGTGTAAATAATGTATTAATTTGGACTGAAACCCGCCCCCCCCTCTCCTTTCTTGCTCTTTAGAATCACTGGCCTTTCTTCTGTGATTATGCCTTGTGGCTGTATACTAAAGTAATATGTAGCATGAAAGCTTCATTCAAAAACTTGACAATCAAATTACTATCATTAATAATTTAGGAGTCTCAACAGAACACACTCATACACACACACACACACACACACACACACACACACACACACACACACACACACACACACACACACACACACACACACACACACACACACATACACTGTCTTTTATACGCACTCACAAAGGATTAGTGGGATCGAGGATTGAACTAATCTGAAACTAATCTGGTTACTGTCCCCTGTGATATATGTTTGTATGTGTGTGTGTGTGTGTGTGTGTGTGTGTGTGTGTGTGTGTGTGTGTGTGTGTGTGTTTGTGTGTGTGTGTCTGTTTCCAACCAGCAAATAGCAGATTAGTATCGAACAATTCAGAATAAATTTGTGTTGTGTAGTCCATTTTAACCAAAAACCTGTCAGCAGTTTGACAGTGACTATTGGCGCGTTTCCACTACAGGCGGAGCACGGTTTAAGAGGGCTGTGACGTCAGCGGCCCGTCTTTGGTTGCGTTTCCACTTGGCCTAGTACCGGCCGGCGGGTCCTAATTCACAGTTTTTTTGGCCTCATAAAATCGCGGGTCTAGGGCCAGAGACAACGAGGCTGAGTCGGGCTGAGTATGCTAAACTAGAGAGAGCATCGCTGGCAAGGGGGCTACAACTACAACAAGATGGACATATTTGACCGTGATTTAATTGTAATACACGTTTCAAAATGATGCCGAAGTAACAACATACTGATACCGGTTAGTAAAAACCATGAATTAATGCTTTGTCAAGTCTGCAGACAGACGGCAGGCGAAAAACCTTTTAAAATGCGTGTTGTCTGAATGGATCGGCTAAGCTAACGCAGTATATGCTCCGACCGTCCACACTCACAACAACGGCCTATACAGACATAAATAAAGCAGCGACTGTATTCACCATGACACAGGCAGTCTGTGGTTTGTACTTGTTTAACTTTTGTCTAGTTTCTGAACATATATGAGGAGCTGTGAGCTCTGAGTGCTAACAGCTAACGGCTGATGTTGTTTTTCTGGGGTTCTCATTGAAGATCACGTCACGGCTCCGCCTACACTGCGTTACTATAGACACTACCCCAGTTCCTAAACTGTAATGGAAATGCGCCATAAAGTGAGCCAGTCCTAACGAGGCCCAGCCATACCGAGCGGGGCCGAGCGAGGCCGTGTAGTGGAAACGCGCCATTAGACGGTGTGTATATACTGTGTGTGTGTGTGTGTGTGTGTGGTGTGTGTGTGTGTGTGTGTGTGTGTGTGTGTGTGTGTGTGTGTGTGTGTGTGTATGTGTGTGTGAAAGAGAGATGGATTAGAGTTAATTAATTTAGCATTTAGTGGTAATGCTGTCTAAACAAACTAGCTGTCAGCAGCTAGGGTTGGTTTCAGCAGATACGTCCTGCAGGTCAGTGGGATTATTGCTTGTAAACTTTATAAAATGACTTCAACCTGCAGTACAGTACATGGACCTGTGGTGAGTACAGTACATGGACCTGAGGACAGTACATGGACCTGTGGTGAGTACAGTACATGGACCTGAGGACAGTACATGGACCTGTGGTGAGTACAGTACATGGACCTGAGGACAGTACATGGACCTGTGGTGAGTACAGTACATGGACCTGAGGACAGTACATGGACCTGTGGTGAGTACAGTACATGGACCTGAGGACAGTACATGGACCTGTGGTGAGTACAGTACATGGACCTGAGGACAGTACATGGACCTGTGGTGAGTACAGTACATGGACCTGAGGACAGTACATGGACCTGTGGTGAGTACAGTACATGGACCTGAGGACAGTACATGGACCTGTGGTGAGTACAGTACATGGACCTGAGGACAGTACATGGACCTGTGGTGAGTACAGTACATGGACCTGAGCACAGTACATGGACCTGTGGTGAGTACAGTACATGGACCTGAGCACAGTACATGGACCTGTGGTGAGTACAGTACATGGACCTGAGGACAGTACATGGACCTGTGGTGAGTACAGTACATGGACCTGAGGACAGTACATGGACCTGTGGTGAGTACAGTACATGGACCTGAGCACAGTACATGGACCTGTGGTGAGTACAGTACATGGACCTGGGGACAGTACATGGACCTGTGGTGAGTACAGTACATGGACCTGAGGACATTACATGGAACTGAGGACAGTACAGTACATGGACCTGTGGTGAGTACAGTACATGGACCTGAGGACAGTACATGAACCTGTGGTGAGTACAGTACATGGACCTGAGGACAGTACATGGACCTGAGGACAGTACATGTTTGTCCAGAGTTAATAACATGAGGGGATTCACAAAACCTCCAGTTTTTCCTTCAGGCATTACACATCATTATTCACCCAGATTATGGAAAAACTTTCCTGATAAACAGTGCAGCAAAATGTGACAGCTAAACCACGACAACTTACAAATGTGGGTATTTTGGCACAAAGCTGTGACAGAAAATAGCTGTTGAGTAATGTGTACTGAAGCTGAAACAAGGCCAGATCAAACCCTGTGTCCTCTCAACATCTGCACAAAAACTACTATTTACAACTAAACAGTTGAATTATCCATCCAGTACATGACATTAATTTAGTGTCCTGTACGGTTGTAAAGAACAATATTATGGTTTAAAAAATTGTTTAAACTCTGCAAGTAAAAGCCATCATGAACTATTATCCAATTATCTCAAATAGCATGGATCCTTGTATTTCTAAAGTTTAGCAATAAATGTTTGCTAAATAAAATATTTATGGTGATATTTGATCATGTAGTCACGTCTTAATCACTTTCCAATATCCATGATGTAAAACGATGCAGAGCAGTGTAAAATGATATTCACATCTGCTTCAACACAATATCTGTTCTTTATTCTAACCTTCCTCACAGTTGTGTGCTGGTTTTGATTTAGCAGTAGACTCCCTGCTTCTGTGAACAGTTGTCTCAATGTCTTTACTGGATCATATTGTCCTTTCTCACACAACATCTAATCTTAGTGTCAGTTTTACCATGGAATCTATTTCACACGTTATTGTCCTGAAGGTGGAAGTCTCTCTGATCTGAAATAGCTTTTTTAGTCTTTTCATGTTTGCTCCTTTTGAAGCGTTTGGTGATTCAAGCCCTAGTCACACATTGAATACATAACAGTGCTGGCTTCATCAATCTGGTAAAACTAGGGCATTTTGTCATTATTTTATAAAAGCCAATGAACAACACACAATTGGATTGCCGGATATTAAGTTGGGAGTACTAACATGTAACATGATGCAGAGCAGTGTTAGAAGAGTGTTATCATCTCACAACATCTGTTCTTTACTCTTACCTTCCTCACAGTTATCGCCCTTATAGCCGGTGTTGCAGATGCAGGCTCCCACGATGCAGATGCCGTGTCCTCCACAGTGGATGTCGATGCACTGGTTGACCGGCACATCACACTCAGTGCCTTTCCAGCCGCTGTAGCACTGGCAGCGGCCGCGGGAGTACTGGCCGTTCCCACTGCAGAGCACCGGGCAGGCGGCTGCAGGGAGGAGCAAGTCAGATACAGATCCTCTACTTCAATCAGTCAGAGGACACATGACTCTCCCAACAGTCACTGCCTCTCTATAGACGAGAGCAACCCATCCGGGCACTTTCCCTCTACGTCATGGCCCATCGCTTTTTGGGTGCAAACATCTGCTGCCATGTGACTGGTAGGTAATACAGATTCTGACGTTTTCTCCAATAACAGTAGGAAATAAATAATACTGCACATTTTGTATCTACAAGGAGCCCAATTACAATGGTCAGACAGGAAAACAAATACATCATAATATTGGACGTCGATGATCGGCGTGGATTTATGGTTTAATTTAAATCAATAGGCGATGGATGTCCGGTCAGTCTGCTGGTGGACGAGCGTCAGGCAGCAGCTCACACTGAAACTAGATTTTGGCTTGTCAGTGTTTTATATTTGAATGCAGCAGCCACAGTCACTGCTTCTGACTATTGTTTGAGGTGCAATAAGGGACAGAGCATTTTAGGCATGATGAAACTATTGTTGTCTCCCATCTATAGGTGGCATAGTGTTTGTGTGTTTACCTCGAGAGCAGTCAGGCCCTAGGAATCCTGGGAAACAGTGACATATTCCTGAGAGACAATCCCCGTTTCCATGACAATTCTGAGGACACTCCATAATCGACTCTGATTAAGATGAAGTGAGAGTGAGAGAGAGAAAGAGGGAAAGGGAGATAGAGAGGTGAGTTAAGGGTGTACGTTCATTGGGTGGACTGGATGTGTAACTGTAAATAACAAGCACCATACACCGGCCCTCACTGGTTGCTATAGTTACAGCCAGTCAGTCCAATCAACACTTTCTAACAACCAATTACTGCGCTGCCTTCTTCCTGCTCAAGCTCTCGCTTTCTATTACACACACACACACACACACACACACACACACACACACACACACACCCACGCACACACACACACACACACACACACACACCCACACACACACACACACACACACACACACACACACACACACACACACACACACACACACACACACACACACACACACACACACCCACACACCCACACGGTAACACTTTATTTTGATAGTCCATAGTTAACACTCTATAAGTCATCAGTTGACATTTAGTAGCATGTCAACAGTGCATCAGTTGACATGTATCAGTTGACATTCAACAGCACCGTTCAAACCGACAAGTAACTAAGCATTAGCTGATGATCTCAACTTTAGAGTTTAGTTGACTATTACATTAAGCATTAGTTGACGATCAACAGATAAGCAACTTTAGAGTTTAGTTGACTATTACATTAAGCATCTGTTGAAACAGTGTTGTTGAATGTCAACTGATGACTTATAGAGTGTCAACTATGGACTATCAAAATAAAGTGTTACCTTATAACACTATACTATGCCTTTCAGTGTATACTAGTGGTTGTTTTAGAACAAATATTCGTTTTTATTATGATAATTAAGAGTGCTGATTTAATGTTCATTAAAAATAAATGTGAATGCAGATTATGTAGGCAACAAAACAACATGTTGGTATCCTGAAGCAGGCTTCAGCAGCTGGTGTTATAATTATAAAGTTATTATGTGAATTACTGTAATGACAAGCTGCCACATTAATAACGTTATCTTGTATTGTCTGTGTAGTCAGTAACTCTTTCAGTCATCACTGCGAACACACACCCCCCCCCTCACCTATAGCGATGGTGTTATAGGAGACTTGTTCTGTGTTGCGCCCGTCGTTGTACATGGCTAGGTGCCAGATCCCCGTGTCCAGGTACTGGATGAAGCCGGCCCCGTGCACGTTCACAGAGCGTGTGTGTCGGGCCCCCCCTGCGGACCCCTCCTCGTGAGCATGTCCTGCATCCGTGTCACTGAGCGACCGCTTGTCTTTGGAAATGAGGCGGCTGCCGTCCAGAAGCTCCACAAAGTCGTACTGAAAGACAAAAATACACAAGAAAACATTAGGATTATATATTTTACAAACGAACAAGTACCTCAAGGTAAACAGATAAGTATCCCAGACAGTGGTCTAGATAAAGGAACTGTGGTCAGTCTAATGGCGCGTTTCCACTACAGCCCGCAGCCCGGTTTAAGAGGGCTGTGACGTCAGCGGCCCGTCTTTGGTTGCGTTTCCACTTGGCCTAGTACCGGCCGGCGGGTCCTAATTCACAGTTTTTCTGGCCTCATAAAATCGTGGGGGCCAGGGCCAGAGGCAACGAGGCTGAGTCGGGCTGAGTATGCTAAACTAGAGAGAGCGTCGCTGGCAAGGGGGCAACAACTACAACAAGATGGACATATTTGACCGTGATTTAATTGTAATACACGTTTCAAAATGATGCCGAAGTAACAACATACTGATACCGGTTAGTAAAAACCATGAATTAATGCTTTGTCAAGTCTGCAGACAGACGGCAGGTGAAAAACCTTTTAAAATGCGTGTTTTCTAAATGGAGATTGGCTAAGCTAACGCAGTATATGCCCCGACCGTCCACACTCACAACAACGGCCTATACAGACATAAATAAAGCAGCGACTGTATTCACCATGACACAGGCAGTCTGTGGTTTGTACTTGTTTAACTTTTGTCTAGTTTCTGAACATATATGAGGAGCTGTGAGCTCTGAGTGCTAACAGCTAACGGCTGTGTTGTTTTTCTGGGGTCCTCTGAAGATCACGTCACGGCTCCGCCTACACTGCGTTACTATAGATACTGCCCCAGTTCCAAAACTGTAATGGAAATGCGCCATAAAGTGAGCCAGTCCTAACGAGGCCCAGCCATACCGAGCGGGGCCGAGCGAGGCCGTGTAGTGGAAACGCGACATAACAGTCCATATTAACAACTGGACATTTTTCAATTCAGTTTCTTATGATTATTTATGATACCCAGAGCATTATGGAATATGGCAACCCTGACCTTTGATCTCGGACATCTGTCAACTTATTAAACCCATATGGTCCATATCTTAATCACTATTGAATGGATTTCCATGAAATTTGTTCTTGGTATATATGTTTAAAGTTGAATTCCTGATGTTCAGAATATGGGGTTAAAGTTAGCTGACTATATAGTTCTTATGACTTTAGTTTTATTTATAAATGTTAATTGATTCTGTCTGTGTGTTGATAGTTATTTTATTTTAATATTTTAATATGATAAAACTCAGTTAAACAGCATGCATTAACAGTAGCAACATATGTTATTTTGCGCTCATTAGCATAATTTCTATTTTAAAATGTTCGAACAAAATGTCTACTTTTTCCTTAAAAGAAAAAAACAAGCTTGATGAGATTGATGGGGAAGGCTATAACAAGGGCTCTCGCTCTCTCTCTCTCTCTCTCTCTCTCTCTCTCTCTCTCACACACACACACACACACACAACACACACACACACACACACACACACACACACACACACACACACACACACACACACACACACACACACACACACACCATTGTCTATTATGGAAAGTGCTAGCGTTGAGCTGTGATAGGGGGCATTGTGTGTCTCTCACAGATAAGTGGATTATTCCCTTGACATGATTATCACACAGAGATGTAAGTTTAGTCAAATGGTATTTTAGCTGTGTAAGGAGCTTATCTTCTTCATTATTAACCAAGAATCCATTAAGCACTTGTCCTAGACACACTTGCAAAGTTGAAAGAGGGATTTGGGGTCTTGACATTTGGGGAGGCAGAATATTTTTCTTATCACTTTAGGTGTTTGGTAAAATCAGAGGACAGAGGATTCTGGATGGTTGAAGACAGGATTTCTGAAACGCTGTGTCGGATCCTAAAATATGATAAGAGTTCATTCCGGAGAGACTGATGCAAACACCGCTCTAGCTTCTGCCGAGGTTTGTGCCGGTTTGAATCCACTAACAGGTTTTTATTTAGTAGTAGACAGTAGCTTCTGTGAGGATCTGATCTATAATAATAATAATAATAATATTACATTTATAAAGCGCTTTTCCTGGTGCTCAAAGCGCTTACAAGCAAGTAAAACAAAACTATATATGAACTATATCCCCCTCATAACTTCAAACTTGGTCTTTAAGGTTCCATTTATTGAACCAATGTTTCTCCTTTATGCATTAGAGTTGATGACTAACAGGTCTAACCGTGCCGCTGCAGGCTTTACATTAAATCTGACTCCATTTATTTCACACTTGTGCCATGTTGAAAGTGAGACAGATATGTTAGCAGGTCAGATCTGGTGCGATTGTGGAGACATGACGTGGCACTTATTCTGACATGAGACCAGCTGCTACAGAGCCATCAGGTATCACAGAGGAGGGGGGCTGTGGGAACGGCCTTTAGGCTGGAAGAACTAGGTCTGGTTAAAGTGTAGCCTCCATGAACTTGCCGGAGCTATTCATAAATGAGCACATCATTTTATTTGCATGTTTGTGTTACCAACCTGTGTGTGTGAGGGCGGCAGGCCTTTGCGTCCATAGACTCCAACAAGAGCATCCTTCTGCACGGAGATGTTGAATTTCAAAAACTGTGGCTGATCAATATATAGCTGGGACCTCCAAAACACACCTTGGATGAAGAAGGAGATACAAATCAGCAATTTAAAGATGAACACAGTCCTTGATGTCCTCTCTATACACCGTACAAGTCCACACGCTCACACAAAACCACAATTAAAAAGTCCTGGATTTTAGATACTCCCATCTCCAATGCAAGCAGAAATTCAAAATCATTATTTTACATTTTCTTTAGTTATTTCTGTGTCAGTGTGTTGAGATCAATTATTCATCTCTTATACAGTAGATCCTCCTCTCCTGGAACTGCTGACAAGATGCAGCATGCTGACGTTTATTCACCAATATGTTCCAGGCTTTAAGCATCAAATGAATTCCATTTCAAACTGCTAAACTGATCTTAAAACCACTTAATAATATCATATACAGTATGTAAAGAGCGCTTCTTCATTTTGATGTATTGCTCGTAGCTACTGGTTCCTTTCAGTAGAAAGCAGAGTTATGACAAAGGAAGGATTTATGGTGGGACTGATGCATAAGACTTCATTTGTTTTAGAGGATCACTTTATAGACTGATAACTGATGCACAAATGTGGGTTGGATTATAAAATAATTATAATAATCAATATGTCACGTGTGATAGGCCCGGATATTTATTTACTCGATTGATTTGCAAAGAAGCTCATATGAATAATATATCAAATGTATATATTTGTTAAAAGCCAAAGAGCAGCATGCGCTGATGGCAGCACAGGAAGGGGTGCAGAATATACTTGGTTTACAAATGGCACAGCAGCTTATACTGTGATGTGAGTGTGTGTGTGTGTGTGTGTGTGTGTGTGTGTGTGTGTGTGTGTGTTTGTGTGTGTGTGCATGTGTGAATGTCACTAACCTGGGGGGACATCTTGTATGGCTCGCCTCCCAACATCCACCTCCCCCGTGTCTATGGTGTTGTTCTCTAGAAGAAACATTTTTCCTGCAAAGACAAATAAAAACAAAATGTAAAGCATGTTATTTGTGCTTCTCACTCATGTAGAACTATTCCTGCAAAGGTCATATTATAATTGAACACACATGAAGCATTGACCGAAGCTGTAGCAAAGGGCTGTTATCTGCAGATTGATCAATTCAAAATGGCAAAACATTTATCCATAATATCCAAACTGTATTTACCAACTGGTATTGTTGTTTATTATAAATGTGCTAATTTGCCCATCAACTGCCACATTTACTGGTTCAAAAGTCTAATATGTAACTCTGCAAAAATAAATGGGAATCTACAATTAAAAACGAATAGGCGGGCATTCATTTCTCTAGTTTCAATCCAGCATGTGCACTATGGAGCTGGAATGGTTCCACACTGTTCAAAGTTTAACATTTCATAGAGCTTCCTGTTCATAACATTACACTCTAACAGCTTAAGTCATGACATCTGGGCACTAAACCAACACTGAATGTGTGTGTGTGTGTGTGTGTGTGTACAGTCTAGACGTTAAGCACATTTGTCACACTAATATGAGCTGAAACATTGGACACCAGTCTTCAAACCCAGCTCGGAGGCATACACACCTCCCTCTATTTCTAACACACGCACACACACACACACACACACACACACACACACACACACACACACACACACACACACACACACACACACACACACACACACACACACACACACACACACACACACAGCTAAACGAAACAAAAGGGTAATAACAAAGGCTCTGAATTAGCCCTGAGCGAAAAAATGCTAACGCAATTAGCACAGAACTCAAGGTAAAATACCCTTATTACTTATTGTATCTGCACAAACAAGATAAGATGAGTTATTATGGTTTTATATGAGTTATATATATTTTAACCATTAAGCGGCAGGTCTCTCTCCACACAACTGTCACCTCGCGTCTGAGGAGCACCTGCAGTATTGCCTGCCCACTGTGTTGCGGCTGCATTCTGATTGGCAAAGGCACTTCTGAGTTGAAAACTATGTGCTATGATTGGCTAAGGGTTCCTCACACAGGAGTTAACCCTTTGTGGCCTGGGTTACATGTGCGCAAAACAAGTACATTTGGGCAAACTCTAATAGGAATGCAAGGGCAGGTGCTAAAGTCTATTTGTGCCTGCTATCAGGAGTCTACCAACAGATGCAGTGGTTATTGAAAATGATGATGATGATGATGATGATGATGATGAGGATGATGATGATGATGAGGATGATGAGGATGATGATGATGATTCACACTTTGTACTAATTTGTACTATTCCCAGGGTCGGCGTCATGGGGGTCATTCACGGGCCATGCCCCCCCAAATGAGTCACTGTGCCCCCCCAACGCAGGGCAGGCAAGCCGTGCCACTTTGCCGTTTTCTTATTCACTTATATGATTTTTTAATCATATAAGTGAAAACGTTTCCACTAAAAGTTTTTTGTGTGAAATAAATCAGAAATAAAGAATACAAATATAAAACACAGCCTGAGGTGTGCTCACTGCTGCTCTCTGATTGGTGTGTTGCTTGACCAATGACCCCCGACCTTTGTTTTGTTATCATTACGTGACTGTGTGTTTAGATGAAAGCCCAGTGGCGATCTGTCCATCTGTTATACTGATTACAGTAAAGCCATCGAAAATAATATGATATACAGTACAAGTACTTCTGGGTCTCTGTGTTTCATTCAAGCTCGGCTCTGTGTGTGTGTGGCACGAGCACATTTTGTGCGCGAGCGGTAACGTGGAATGTTGTTGTTAGCATCTGGTTAGCTAGCTATGCTAACAGATATAAAGAGCTGTTTCTCCACCAAGGTGGAGGAGAGTCCTCTCCTGTCAGACTGAGAGGATCTTATAACGTCAGCTCAGCGAGGTAAAGGACTCTCTCAGTGTTTAGATAGTTCACTTTAGTCTAAGTCATCTCAGTGGGTCTCAAACGGTTTGGTCACCATTTATGTAAACAAGTATTTGCGAGGAACACCTTTATATGATCCTTATAGTTATTAAAAAATAAGAAAATAAATGAAAAACAGGTATGAAATATTATATGACAGTAAAACAAGAATACAGTTTAAAAGGGGAATGATTACATCTGTTTACAGTTCTGTTTCATATGGGTGTTACCTGAGTATATGTCTAAGTTTCTGTTTGACTCTAGGCTTTCTCCTTAATGTGTCACACATTTTTCTAAAAGGAAATTTAACTGAAGCTTTCATATCTTTTTGTGCCTTCTTTCCATTCAGAATAAAGGATTCAAAAAGTATGTAAGTAGGAACTCACCGTTGTCTGTAGACACCATGAAGGTGTTGGGAGTTGTATCTCTTCCCCCTCCTCCATTTTCAAATGCTCCGTATCCCTCACTCTCCTGAAGCTGCCAGTTCAGACCAAACAGGTGCATCGCTAGAGACCAGGAGAGAAAATAATGAGAGGCAGAAAGAGACAGCTGGGAAAATACAGTCAGCGCAACGACAAGAGATACAAAAGTTAGGAGAAGAGGGAACAAGAGGCCAGTGAAGAGTGAACAAAGGAGAAAAATCAAGACAATACAACACACACACACACACACACACACACACACACACACACACACACACACACACACACACACACACACACATTAAGTATTACACGTAGAATAGAATGTAAACTATTATAGAGTCATACACAATCAATTTTCTCTACAGTGAAGTGTGTATACATTTCATAGTAAACCACCAGCAGATAATCTGACACAACCCAATACACCTCTAACCTCTGTCTACCACCTACGTGTTTACTCTGTTTCTCTATCTGTGTGTGTGTGTGTGTGTGTGTGTGTGTGTGTGTGTGTGTGTGTGTGTGTGTGTGTGTGTGTGTGTGTGTGTGTGTGTGTGTGTGTGTGTGTGTGTGTGTGTGTGTGTGTGTGTCTGTGTGTGCACCCAGCCGTGGGCTTGTAAACCATCAGCTCTCTTGCTATCTCCCTCCTGCTCCCTGCATCTCTGGAGCAAAGACCATCTAAATTGGTGTAAAGAGAACAGAACAGAAACATCCACACTCATGAAGCCCAATTCTATTCCCCATCGCACCTCCTCCCTGAACTTCCATGCACTGCTATATTCTGCGTGGTGTCTGCTGAATGATGCTGACTGTCTGGAGAACTGCAGAGCTGAGGTGGCATTTTACAAAGTGAAGCAGCAGAGGGGTTTAGTTTCCTGCTTTATGTTGTCAAGGTAACAAAATATACACTGCACTTTTCTGATATAAGCTGAGTTTATAATCACATATCCATATACCACTGAACATGCTCTGTTTTCATATTTCTGGATTGAGGCAAAAATGTAATACAATAAAGCACTTTAATTCACCAAAGCTGTCTCTGAACCTGAGTTACAGAGTACTGTTAGGCAGATTATAAATCGAAGTACCTTAGGACCTGGGGCAGGCATTTCCTTGAATGGCGCTAAAGCAAAGACTATACTGAGCAATTAAACATCCATTTATTTTTTATTGTAATAAAAGGAGGATAAATGTGCTCATGAAAGTGGTCAGTCAATCTTATCTCCGCTGTACAATTTCACTATTTTGGGAACTCTTTTGAGACATAATTCAGAAGAGATTTATTAGGTACCCTTTCCTTAGATGCTGCATGCCTCATTTAGAAACCCATTATGAAAATACATAAATAAACCTGACACATAAATCAAGGCATCAATGATACAGGAACATGGATTGATGCCCTAGAATGAGGTTCATTTACTTCATTCACAGACATTTGGATTTCCTTTAGGAGCTCCATAAACGCTTGCACGGTAACCTATAGACATTATCATGGAGAAGGAGAACTGTGCAACTTAGAGCGTTGCACAGTTCAGTGAAGAGTTCACACAGTTACAGTCAAGTTGGCCAGGCTCTGGTCCACCAAAGAGCCTGTAGAAGGCACTACTTATTGACATGGGATAGTGAAGCTCACTACCAATATAAGCAATAGTGATATGGTGATGGCTGCCAATATTTAATATTCTTAAATTAGATCATTTTCACACCCGCCAAAACTAACAAAACAGCATCAGTGTGTTACTCTCACACACAGATGAGCCTAAAGCACCTCAGGACATAAAACAAACAAATCCCTGTTATTCAACACCTGAGCGAAGGTGGGTATGAGGAGACCCCTGTCCCTTAAGCCCCCCCGACAAAGTGATGCTGTGCTGGGGATGAAGCGCGGCCCCCTGTGTGTGCTGGCTGAATATGGAGGAACACGAGGAGTCTGGATCCTCACAGAGCAGATATGAGAGGAGCCGTGTCAAGGACCAATTACTGATTCATCTTGGGAACATTTAGTGAAGGACCGTGCCACACACACACACACACACACACACACACACACACGCACACACACACACACACACACACACACACACACACACACACACACACACACACACACACACACACACACACACACACACACACACACACACACACACACACACACACTCTACCTCATTAAATTAGAGCCGTGCTGTGCTAGCACGTTATCCTCAACCCCTCCTGGTGAGGACAGGAGCAAAGGGTCATGGGAGAGTGCTGGCTAATCGACAGGAGCCTGTGTGTGTGTGTGTGTGTGTGTGTGTGTGTGTGTGTGTGTGTGTGTGTGTGTGTGTGTGTGTGTGTATGTGTGTGTGTGTGTGTGTGTGTGTGTGTGTGTGTGTGTGTGTGTGTGTGTGTGTGTGTGTGTGTGTGTGGTGTGTGTGTGAAGATTAATGGCCATGGAAACAGTCATACAAGACTGGTTCTCTCTAACAAAACCTTTTTAGGTAATGTTACCAGGACATTTTAGAGCAACAGTTGTGGATTTAAGAACGATTTCAAAGACTAGCGTGGGGTTGAACACCAAAAACCATTTGGAGGCTCATTACTTGAAGATCACAGGAATTTAGCATTAACTATACATCCCTACTTCTTCTAAGACAGTCAGAGGACGCTGTTACGAATAACCTGTTGCCAGGTTGCTATCAACAGCCTTATATTTGCTGTTCTTTATAAATATGAATAGGTCTGTGAGCCTGAAGCTGTGGTGAGTCCCTCCTGTGGAAGATTTTCCCTGCAGCAGGAGAACCACTCGTATGGATGAGGAGAGAAACTATCCTACTGTGTTCAAAGAGAGACTGGAATCAACAAGCTGTCAGCCTTGACTGCGTCCGTTCAGAAGAGCAAACTGATCCCAGTTCAGCCGGATAATCTGACACACACTGAGAGGGGCTGCAGCTGCATGATTCCCAACTTCAAGGGAAGGACATGTATTAAGAACACACCAGAGGACACCCTTTCACTTCTTTTATGTTTAGAAATTGTGCTTTTTTCACAGGTGTAGCTGTTGAAAATGACTCATCCCCTGAACAATGTATAGCAACTTTAAAAGCTGACTCATGTCAGGTGATGATGTCTGGTCCAATGAGGAAGCATGCCTTATCACAGGGATTGCAGACATTAGCCGCGTTCACACCAAGTACTTTGCCGTACTCAGTGCCGGCACTCAGTGCCCCGGCACTTATTACCCCAGGGCATTTAGAACAGATCGCATTCACACCGGAATAAATTCCCTGAGGGAAGATTACACAAATGAGCCGCTGACGTCACTTCGTCTTCTTCTGCTTTGGGTTTACTGGCAGGCCGCAAACAACTTCACGGCGTATACTGCCACCCGGAGTCCCCGGCCGGAAGTCCCCGGCCGGAAATCCCCGGAGTTTGGGACTGGCTTCAGTAGAAGCTGCTGGGACTCCCAGCAGCTTCTACTCCCGAGGAAATCGCCAGAACGCCGACACCTCCTCATCTCCACCGCTCCCATGTTTTCTTTTGTGTTGCCATAAGTTAGTCTCTCTGCGTTTGTGCGCTGGGTGAATGCTAATGCTAATAATGCTAATGCGAGGATAATAAAATGGTGGCTCTACAAAACATTTCAGAGTTGTACGGGGCGTGGTTTGCAATTCGCCCAGCCAACCAGAACTGGGGCACTTTTTTCCCCCAGGAAAGTACCATCTCTCAGCAGGCACTAAAAATGGGGGTAAAAATTCCCGAGATTAAGTGCTCTTTTTGGTGTGAACGCGAAATAAGGGGTACTAACGGAACTAAACGCGAAAAGTACAGGGTTTGTGAACACGCCTATTATTCACCGCAGGGATGGGAGGGTTACTGTAACATGTAGTCCGTTACTATATCTAGTTGCATAGATAGAAAGATAGATATATACTTTATTCATCCCAATCATTTTGTTACAGGAGCAGTGTGTTCAACATTAAAATACAAATACTTAAAAAGTGGAATAGATTTAACAATTAACAATTACAAATAAAAATAAAATAGTATATCAAATATAAACAATATATATTTTTTAACCTAATCTAAGTGTCACAATATAAAAGTGATGTGACCTGATTACTTTCCATTACTGTTGATAACCTCAATATCAAATCCAATGCAAATAAAATAAATAAGAAAATAAATAACAATAAGATATTTCCCATCAAGAATGTAGTAACAGTAAGAGTTTACAAATGCTGTTTAAGCTTAACACATGGATTAAAAGCATAGACTGTATTTTTGTTTAATAAATAAGGTGTCCACCTACTGCATTAAAACATAAATGTATTTAAAATAAAGAAGACTTAAACTAGCCTAAAGACTTAAACTAGCCTAAAGACTTAAACTAGCCTAAAGACTTAAACTAGCCTAATTCTAAAACTGTAATCCTGCTGGTAGTCTCTATTTAAAAAAAAAAATGTAACTGTAATCTGATTACTTCTTTTTGTATAATTGCAATCGAATACAGTAACCTTTTTTTAGTTTCCTGATGACGTAATCCATGACATGTAATATATGTAATGTGTTACTCCCCCACCTGTTCCCTGGTCTCCTGTGTCTGATGTCAGGCTGGGACTTCCACCTCTAGTTTCTGTGTTACATTGGAAGTGAAAAGTTTCCCTGGGTTATTTATCGTTATTGGATGATTCTGCACCTCGTGATTGATGCAGTAGGCGCTGTGCCCTTTCTACAGCTAAGGTGGTGCAGTTGGAAGGGGGGGGGGGGGTCATACACCTGTGATTAATGTTTGACTTTTTATTAACTCTAACTTTGACCTTTTCCCTAAACTTCCCCAGATGATGTATGAACTGTAGGTGCTTAAGCCATAGCAACAGGTTCTGTTGCTCAGCACAAACTATATCATGCTTGGGGAGTAACAGATTACATGTAACGGATTACCAATTTAAAAAAAGGTATCTGTATTCGATTACAATGACATTAAATAAGTAATCACATTACTGTTACATTTAAAAAGAAAAAATAGAGATTACCAGCAGGATTACAGTGTTAGAATACATTTTGAAATAAAGATGGATATATTATAGAATGTCCTGAATACATTTTCTTTATGGTTTATATTTATGCTACTTTAATTGTTCTTTATTTTAAATACATTTATTTTGTAATGCAGTAGGTGGACACCTTATGTATTCAACAAATACAATTCATGCTTTTAATCCATGTGTTAAGCTTAAACAGCATTTGTAAACTCTTACTGTTACTACATTTGTATTTGAAATATCTTGGTTACTTAATTTCTAAGATTATATTGTTACATGCATTTAAGTAAAACACATCTTTTTATTTTTTATTTTATTGCTTTTATTTGCATTGCAGTTCATATTCAGGTAGTCCAAAAGTACCAGAAAATAATCACCATTTTGATACTTAGATTAGGTTCCTTATTCAATAGTTTTACTTGTAACTGGTTCATGTAACGGATTACCTTTTTAAAATCCCTCCCTGTTTAATGAATATGATTATCAAATTCAATCCAACATTGCCAGGTAATAGAAAGACATTTTGAAATCTCAAAAGCTCGATTTAGAAAACAAGCTTTTTCAAGCTTCAAGATACAACAAGCTTGAGGGACATACACACTTGCTCAGCTCACAGGCACACAACCTGCCTAGAGTCTACATGACATATGAAAAAGAGACTATATGAGAAAAACAACATTTAAAAGTCCCTGCAAAGCTTTGATGCTGAGATGACCCTGTGATGAAGGCCAAGGCTGGGGCTATTGATATAGCAGTAGCATCGCTTCAGATGTGATTATTAAAAAGGTCTATTTAATAATGCTGTGTGAGGGAGACTGTCACGCACGTACGCACGCACGCACGCACGCACGCACGCACGCACACATATAGACGAGCCTGTGGCAACAGATCTCCAATTCCAAGGACAGTCCTCTTTCATAATTGCTGCTGTTCATTGTGGGAATGGTTGGCCTTTAGAATGAATACCACCTTCCCTCCCCTCTGACTCTTTCCCATCATTCCTTCTTCTCTTTTATCTCAAGGCTTTTAAAAATGAAAACAACTCGCACACAATCTAACAAGGAGCCCTGGCAGTTCTAAAGCCATGCAGGAGAGAGGAAACACACACAAGTATTTCTTTATGATTACAGGTGTAAATGTGAGGCCTCCAATGGGATATTTAAGGCTAATAATATGTATGTTCTGTCTGGACTGAGGTCTGATTGTACACATATGTTGGGCTTGAGTTCCAGTCATTTTCAGACTTTAAGATGCAATGCATTGTGTGTCTGAACTGTATGTTGTGTTCTGTTTGTGTTGTTTTATTTGCCCGTCCCAAAGACTTTGCAATTCATGTAAATCTAATGGACATTAGTTGATCTGAGTCTAAATCTGTTTGACATTTCTCATGCGAGGTTCAAGACATGAATAACTTTAGTAGAAAACTCTTTAAATGAGTGAGGCCACATTCAGGTCTATCCGAAGTCCTTTTTGCACAACAACAGTTCAATTACATATTGATACAAATGTATTAAATCAATTTGGAGATTCATGGGGCTAGATATTATTGAGACAAGTGTAGCCCCATTTGATGTGAAATGTCTTCTTTTATAAGTAGACTAACCCTGACTTTGTCGATTCAGTGGCTGGAAGAAAATGTTTCAGAGCTGACAACTTCTATAATCACACGCCACAGATGATCATTGTGAGATGATGTAGACTCCCTTTGACCCACAGTTCATTTTGGATCAGCGTAATTGTATCTATTCTGCCTCAGGCTGATCTAAATCTGGGGAAAGTCACCTTATTCACACAAATTCTATTAAAAGGGAACATTTAACATTCAATATGTGTAACGAATGTACCATTTATTCACTAAAGAGACTAAGGTAAGGGATGATTACAATTGAATTTGTAAGGCAAAGTCTTGCACATGTGAGAATCTGTGACAGTGAAATATTTAAGAAGATTCCTGCCTTCCATCAGCACCCTGAAGAAAGGTGCACAAAGCATTCCTGCAATTGGATGAATTCCATATTTGTCTGTCGTCACTGTTTTGTCGGTTTCTTCTGATGATGGGAATGATTGATTTTTATATAAGAAAAAAAGGAGTGAGACTTTTATAATGTGACCCATTTTCTTGAATTTGATGGAGTGATGTTGAAGATTTGATGGTACGGATCATTTAAACCTTGTATCAAAAGCAGTTTCAATGCAATTGACTGTACAATCTTCCCGATTGATTAGCCTACACCTATAGCACATCCTGTGAGGGGGGGGGGATATATAAGGCCTGCAGAAAGGAAAACCCTGGTGCTATCTGATGGGCTCAAAACCACAGAGTGAAAAGCTACACATGCAGCAACAAGAAGAAGACGGGCTGCAACACTGAGAGCGAGACGGGGAGGAAGCAGGACACCATGGTAAAGAGATGAGGAGGATTAACG